TACTATATAAATATAAACTGATCTCGCAAAAAATATATAGCTTGACATACATATGTATTGAAATATAAACATGCATAAAAAATTTCAGATTAATCAAAAAATAAATGCTAGGGAAAATAATTATATTCTATATGTGATCTACTACCAATAATGATTAAATAGAAATAAATTTTAATTAGGCCTTTAATATTTTGAAACTTTAAATACATACCAATAAATAACACATGAGTAAAATATAAAAATATTATATTAAAATAAAACCAAACAATAAGCTAAATAATTAAATTACCTAAAAAAACTATACTAAAAATAAAAATAGGGTAGAATATTAAATAAATTAGAGATGAATAGTAAATAAAAACTTCAAATTATGAAACTTAACCTACATTCTAATTGCTAATACATAAACAATTCCTAAAAAATTTAGATTAAAATAAAACCAAATAGTTGGCTAAATAATTAAATTCCATGAACAAGTAACAATAATAATTAAAAATACGACAGATTATGAAATAACTAGTAAATGGATCTATAAAATTATAAAAACTTAAATACAAATCAAGGATAATCATATGCACAAGTCCTAAAAATATCAAACCAAAATACTCGAAGAAGGACTATGAAAATAGAGAAAACCGAAACTAGCCCTAAGATCAAAAGTTTGTCAATGCTAGCCCTAATCAAGGACCCAATCGCACGATTCTCACAAGTTTAAGAACCAAAATTTAGAAGAAAAAATTAGTGTTCTTCTTCACCAAAACAGGATAGAAATGCAGCCATGGAACTCAAAAATGCATCCTCATTTTTCTAGAGTTTTGGTTGGTTTTAACATCTGAAATTTCATATCCCTCATCATATAGCTATGATTGTTATCCTAAAATTGCTTTTCATTTAATATTTTCAACCTAGAGAGATTTTTTTAGAGAGAGAAAATAAGCCATGGATGAAATTTTTTTACCTTTTGAAGCTTTTCTTGGCTACAAATTAATGAAAGAACAAATCCACAAAAATTACTTGAGGACCAACCCCTTCCTTTTACTTTCTTTCTTTTTCAAAGAGAATCAAGTTCAAAATTTTTTTTGACATCGTTTTTTGGGTTTTTTGTTTAGATTTTTTTTTCATTCAGGTCTCCCTCTTTTGCTCTATGTGTTCAATTTTTATACTCCTCCCATTTTGATCCTAACCCTCCATTTATTGGAAATATCCCCATCCTTTTTTTTCTCTTGCTTCGTAAGCTCTTTTTTTCCATGTCGTAAGGATTATTGAGAGAGTCTTTTTGTTTGGGAGTGTCGCTATCCGACATTTGTAGGACTTCCAAAAATAATAAGTTGAAATTTGTTTATTTTGGGATGTGAGTAAAACTAAGTTTTTGGAGTTGCCATCTAGTATTAAAAGAATTAGGAATCTAAAATTAACACTCGGTTTAGAGATTCTAGGACAAAGAGTTGGTTATACTTTTGTAAAGATATCAATCACCCAAAGCCACCATTTTAAAGAAAAGATACCATGTCCGGTTTAATTCTAAAAGTTTATCTCTTGAAAGTTTTATTTTTACCAAAATATTTTCGAGTCAATTTTCAAGTTTCTTATCTAAGCCAAATTATTTTTTTATTTTTATTTGTGACATCATATTGAATCGATAGTCGAACCCCGAAGTCGAGAGTCTCGTCAATCAAGAATCCAATTTAAATCTGGACATAATCGGTCCGTCGAAGACCAATCGAATTACTAAAATGTGATTGGTTTTGAATTAACATCGGTCTCTATTGGATAGGAGACTCATTAAAATTGCTTAAAATGCTTTCTTTCTTTTTTGTTCTTTTCATGTTTTATTTTAAGTTATGCGAGGAAAACTTTATTAAAATTATTTTTTTGTTTGTTTTTTCTACGGCACTCGTATTAAATTAACGTCGGATCCTAAAATTTAAGAGTCTCATCAATTTAACATCGGATTCGAGTTAAAGTTTTGACACGATTGGAATGTCGAAGAACGACATAATTAACTATAAGTATTTGCGTGAAATATTGAATAAAATCGACTCAACTTGATTCATTATTATTTTTTTTTATGATTTTTAATGCTAAACAAATACATCAAACCACATTCCATCCTTAATAAATAGGAGACTTATTGGTTCAACATGACAACCGAATCAAACTCTACACATTAAAATAAATTTCACAATCTAAATATTTTTAAGTTTTCTAATACAAATAAAATTAACATTATTACAAAATATCATAAAATAATTAAAAAATAAATAGTTAGAGAAACAAACCAAATGGTCACAAAAGAGTGACCAAACCGTGATGCTCGCTAACAAATGACCAAAATGCCCCTTAAGGAAAATTTACTAAAATGCCATTGCATGTCAAAATTATGAAACTGCCATTCAAAAATCCAACGCTATTGTCGCTTGCTCGATCACTAACCAATGTCCTTTAAGTGCATTGATCGGCTACGTATGGAGGAGTAGCTCCTCGTTGATCATCCTATAATGGTGTCGGCAGTCGATGGAGGAGGAGAAAGGAGATCGACGCGGTTGAAGGTTCAATAATCTCTCTCTCTTTCCCGATGGAGAGTCTAAACACGACAAGGTAATGAGAGACCACCAAGTCGCTCGGAAAACCATGGGGAGCTTTTATACCATGGTTAGGAGGCTTGGTTTGGTCGGATCAAGGAGATTTGATTGGGTTTGGAAGAAATGGATAAACGAGTCGGTTGGTTTCTCTTCTCTTCGATTTGTCCAATTCTCGACAAGATTTCACCGTGATTTCAAGGAGGAACAACTTATAGGAGGATGCAGGGCACTTCGTGGTGGTAGGATTGTTGTTTTCGTTAGAAAACGATGATAATAGCGAGTACACAATCGGATCGGGTCATCGACCTTCTCACCTTGATGTCTCACTCGTTTTGGCATCCTCTTCTTCCCTAACCAACTAAGAATGAAAAATCTAGTGGTGGGCTATCAATTTGTGGTGGTGGATCGAAGCAATTTTGGTTGAAATATAGTCGATTTGAGGAAGGAAACGCCAACAGTTCGCGGGTTGACTAGCGGGTAACTCGAGTCGACAACCCCTTTTAGGGGTTGTTTGGTAGCCTCTTTTCCCTTTTTTTTTTTTTAGTTTTTTTTATGGGTAAGGGTGATGGGTATTTTAGCTAGATTGTTTTGTGTAGAAGAATAGTTGCGTGAGGCTAGATTGTTTTTGGCAGGTATAAGTGATGGAGGCTAAGTTTTTTCTTGTGTAGAAAGATGAGTGGGAGGCTAGGGTGTTTTTTTTTTTTTTGGTAGGAGTATAATTGTAGAGGCTCTCTAAAAAAGGAAGTAAAAGGGTGCTTATATAAGGATTTTTTTAGGGTTTGGGATAAAACCAATGTAGGTACTTCTTTGGATTATTTTTCTCAATTTTAATGTATGTTCCATTATTTTCTTTCAATTAGCTCCTTAATTGAAATTATTTAATTTCTATTCTCTTGCTTTTTTTAATTTCACACTCATTAATTCTCAACAAGTTTTTTAATTTTTATCCCTTTGCAATTACATCTCCATTTGAATGCCACTAGATCCTCGCTTTTTACATTATTTTCAATTGGATCCGAAATCATCTTTCCTATATATTTTTCTTTCTTATTTCTTTTTTTAAATTAAAAATGAAAAATAATTTTAAGAAATTAGAATCTTAAAAATTCATAAAAATGCCTAAAAATCATGAAAAAGACAAACTATTTTGGTTCTTTTATTTTTAATTCTTTCTAATTGACCCTTAATTTCTTCTTGATTGTTTCCTTAAACTTTTGATATTCATGAATTGGCCCATAGTATTTTCAAATAAATTACAATTAAATTCCAGAATGTGAAATTAAATCCTTTTTGGTATTTTTCTTTTCTCATTTTTTTTTATTTATGGTAAATTGATAAAGGGGAAATCAATCAAATTCTTTCGTTTTTTTTTCTCTTTTTTTTTCAGTTTTTGTTTTATTTTCTTGTTTTTTTGAAATGTCAAATATAATTAAACTAAACTTTAAAAAGGTAATGATAAAACAAAACTAATTATATAATAAAATTAAATTCATGATCCATCTACACTATATGAATTAAAAATAAACAAAAATAAAATAAAATGAAAAATAAAATAAATTAAAAAGAATTTCTAAATAATTATGAAGGTATAAAATTGGGTTATGAAAACAACAGTGCCAATATTTACTTTTACAACTCTTCGAATTGGTTAAACTCTCTTTTTCGGATTCCTGATGGTCGTGTCTGTGACCAGGATACAGAAACTTTAGAAATAATACGACATTTCATTCAGAGTAGACCGACCAGTTATCTTAACTTAAAAACTGTTAAGGATGGACTTTAATGAAATCTGGCTCCCTTTCCCTTTTGTCGTTTCCTTCCTTCCTGTTTCACTCGTAGTTATTCAGTTCAATTAAATATCCTGATGTCTTTGATGAGAAGCAACATTGATTAGAATAGTAAACTGGCTAGATCAATCTATAACCTTTTGTGCCTCGGGTCAAGAAGATGACAAGCTTCTTTTATGCAACCCGTAAGAATTTGTTCTATGACTTCTACGCCCCATTAAAATCATGGAAAATGCTCTCCGGTGGTTAATCCAAAGTTACAGACATTAGTCAACTTGTTTTTATAATATTGATTCTTGTTACAATGTAAGATGCGTTTGACTGTCTAGTCCAAATGAACCGATAATAATGCAACCATTTTTCTATGTTACGGCAGAAGAATATTTGTTCTGAGCCAGTGTCAAGTAATGCACGAGTTCTTTTCAGGTCGCATAGTTATTCGCCGGCAAACAACAACATGTGCCTCCTAGGAAGCTACATTGCAAACCTGACAGTCTTTCAAACAGTGAATGGTATAATATAACTTTGTTAATCCCGAACATAGTTTAGCCAGATTACAGGGCTAAAGGCGGAGAATCGCATGTTGAGGCTATATAAGCCGATGGCAGTGACTAAAGATTTGTAGCTCAAAATGGAAGTGCCATCATTTGAGCTGTTGTTGGGGTTTCTGATGCTTACAACAATATGTGCATCTGCAGCACATCCTAGGACCACAATGAGATTTGATAGGATGAGAAAGTACAAGGAGAGCAGCATGGCCTCGGTTAATGTCGACCCAGAATTTGAAGTGCATAATTACACGCAGACATTGGATCATTTCAACTTTAAACCAGAAAGTTATGCTACTTTCCAGCAGAGATACATACTGAATTACCAGTACTGGGGAGGGGCAAATACCAGCTCACCCATCTTCGTCTATTTAGGTGCAGAATCAGATGTAACATACGATCTTCAATCATCAATTGTGGATCTTGCTGCTCGTTTCAAAGGCTTGCTGTTGTATATAGAGGTAAGTGTCTCTTGTCCTCCATTTGAAATTTTCAATTCTGGAGGCACAGGTTCATGGACTAGGTAGCTTGAATAATAATGGTCATCACTACTCCCATTTCAACGTAGAATAAAAAGAAATGATAACATTTTCTGTTACAGCATCGCTATTATGGAGTCTCAATGCCTTTTGGATCAGAAGATGAAGCATTCCAAAATTCCAGTACCTTTGGATACTTGAGTTCAGAACAAGCATTGGCAGATTACGCGCAGGTGATGACAGATGTTAAGAAGAATCTGTCAGCAGAACACTGTCCTGCTATTGCAGTTGGAGGATCATATGGCGGAAGTAAGCAAGACTGCAAATATTTGTCATCGATGAATTCCTGAACTTAAAACTGATCTTTTACCGCATATATTATACAGTGCTTGCATCGTGGTTTCGTCTAAAGTATCCTCATATCGTCATCGGTTCTTTGGCATCGTCTGCTCCAATACTCTACTTTGATGATATCAAACCACAAAATGGATACCATGTTGTTGTTTCTAAAGATTTTAGAGTAAGAAATTAGTCAAATGATATATACTTTTTTGTTATTTAGTCACTTAAATTATCTAATTATTCCATATGTCCATTGGGCTATAGGAAGCCAGTGAGAGTTGTTACAACACTATACACCAGTCCTGGGCTGAGATTGACCGAGTTGCGTCTGAAGCAAACGGGCTACTAACTCTGAGCAATATCTTCACTACTTGTAGGTAAAGAATAAGGCATCCTACGAATCTCTAAACCCATTCTCACATGCTTTATGCAAATCGTTTTCTGAATTGGACCTTGTTGTTTTCCATCCCATGTTCAAGTCCCTTGAACTCATCGCAGGATCTCAAGGACTCCATCGGGATCACATATGTGATTGCAGCTCAGTATGACAATCCTCCCTCTCATCTAGTCAATGATATATGCAGTGCTATAGATGGAGCACCAGCAGGAACTGATATTCTTGGTAGAGTTGCTGCTGGTTTCAATGCTAGTATTTTTGGAAATGATTCATGCCATGATATATCACATTCAGGACTAAGCAACGAGAGTGCATGGGATTGGCAGGTTCTACATAAAGCCTTTATGTTTTTAATCCTAATATTCTCCTTCTTTCTAGCAAAAAAGTGGTTTTCTATATTCAGTTCACAGAGTTCTTTTGCATCTTTCAGACATGTACCGAGATGGTATTTCCGATTGGATATGGTGAAAATGAAACAATGTTCCAATCAAATCCTTTTGATATAAACAACTATACCAGCGAATGTGTTGATGTTTTCGGTATCAAGCCAAGGCCTCATTGGATCACAACCGAATTCGGTGGACACGTAAGCATTTCCTTCTCTCCCCATAAATTCAGAACATAAAAACCTTAGTCTATTACGACAAGAAATCAAAATGTCATTGCTGATAGACAAAATGTTTCAGGACATAAAAACTGTGCTAGGAAATTTTGCAACCAACATTATTTTCTCCAATGGACTGCGAGACCCTTGGAGTGCTGGAGGGTAAGGGACAAACTTTGATCCTTTTCTTAGCAATGTTATGCGTTTCAGCATTACATTTTGCTAATTAATTCATACTTTCTTCTTGTTCTTTTTTTCTTTGTTTTTTCTTTACTCAACTGCAGAGTTCTTGAGGATATATCAGACAGTGTTGTTGCTTTATATACAGAAAAAGGTACCCATTTTGTTCCTTAAAAAGTGTTTGAATTTCATAATTTGATCATTAATTCTTTTGGTAATTAGGAGCCCACTGCTTGGATCTTTATCCCCCTAGATTGAGCGATCCTGACTGGCTGGTTGCATTGCGAGACAAAGAGAACAAAATCATTGCATATTGGCTTGCTGAGTATTATGCCAAACTTAATTAACTATAACATAACTAGACCTGGCAATAAAGGTGGCCAAAGTCACACGTATTTTACTGTTTTTTCGATAAGCAAAGAACTTCTCAGCAGTTCAATACCTCATTACTATGCTAAATGATTCCCGTATCGTTCCAATTTAGTAGGAAGGAAAATTTGTATCTTGTTAAATTTCGTTCACACTTCTTGGACATCAATAGTCCTACGCCAAGGGCACATAGGATGAAGTATTTGGGTTAGAAAGATGCAAAGCCTGCTAGATTGCTTGTAATTGTTTGACAACAGATTTGGTCAGTTTCATTTTCGGATTCTCCTGAGAAAACTGTGTATGCCGACAGAATAATAAAACTTCATCATTTTACATAACATTTCCATTAGAATAGCATGAGTGACCGGGCGACCACTTTTTTGTTTCTTATGATAAAAAGAGAATAATGGTATTTCTGATCTATTCTCAAAGGCATTTCTGGTTTGTGCCGGCCACATAGTCCATAATGTTTTACAATGGAATTGTGTGATGGAAAGACTCCATTTGGAGAATATGGTTCCTCAATTAAATTGAACATATAGAAGACACTTCCTGGTTCCTGCACAAAGGACATTTGTTTTCTGAGGATGTAATTACACATCTTCTGAACAGGAATTCTCTAGTTTTGATCCGTTCCATGAGTGCCATCCAAGAGAAAAGCTCCACTTTTGGTGGATCAAGTACGCATATGCACATGGATCAATAACTGACCAGAGTCCAGACAAGTTATCTCTGCTGAAACAGCAGTTTAAGTCTATATCTTCTGTCTTAAAATTAATAATAATAAATTAGCTGAAACAGTAGTTGAAGTGTGTATTGAAGGTCTTAGGTTTTATGAATTGTTTTCAATATTTTACTATAAATTTTGCATATTTCACTTTAAAATCGATGGATGCAATTGACGAAGAGTAACATTGATAGCAATGCTATAGGCGAACGGCATTTTTGCAGTTAGCCTTTTCTTTACTATACGCAAGAAATTAATAGCAGACTTGGAAGAAAACCTTCCCCCTTCTCATTACTTGTGCTTCGTTCTCCTTTTACTGGTAGTTGTTCCCTTGAATTAACAATCCCCAAGTCTTGGAGAAGCAACATTAACTTGAATAGCAAGCTGGCAAGACCAAATCTATTGTTGCCTCAGGCCTGCCAAAAGAAGATGACTGGATCCTTTTATGTAACGGTTACGAGTGTCATTTTCTCTAAGACTTCTCTCCCAGTTAAAAAATCACGAAAAAATGTGTGCCATTTTGAATCCAGAGTTACAAATCGAAGTCAACTTGTTACTCTTTTAATTATTCTTGTTTCAATGTAAACTGTGTCTCTCTGTCTTGTCCAAATGGATGTTATGAATAGTCCGGCATTTTGGTTATTTTTTAAGCAATGGAAACTTTTCCAATAACTTTTCTGAGCCAATATGTTAAACAATGAATGAGTTTGTGTAGTTTTCTTCACCAATATATACGTTAAATAAAGAGTGTACATTTGCAGCTTAGTAAATATCGTACATAGTAGTTAAAGACAAGAACATGCTGCTGAAGTTCAGTAGCTATTTAACCTGATAGCTGGAGATCTAAAGCCTTGTAGCTCAAAATGGCACCGTCTTCGTTTCAACTATTGCTGGGGCTTCTGATGCTTGCAGCAATATGTGCTTCTGCAGCACATCCTCGGGCCACATTGGGATTTGATAGGATGAGAAAGCATTCGGGCAGCAGCTCGGTCTCTGTTAATGTCCTGCCTGGATTTGAATTGTATAATTACACGCAGACATTGGATCATTTCAACTTTAAACCAGAAAGTTACGCTACTTTCCAGCAGAGATACATACTGAATTACCAGTACCGGGGAGGGGCAAATAGCAGCTCACCCATCTTCGTTTATTTAGGTGCAGAGATAGATGTAACGCAAAATCTTGATTTATCAATTATTGATCTTGCTGCTCGGTTTAAAGGTTTGCTGCTGTATATAGAGGTCAGTCTGTCTTCTCCTTCATTTAGATTTTTCAATTCTCTGGAGGCAGAGCTTCATGAACTAGGTTTATGGAATATCATGAACTTGTTTTTATATACTCATCATTCCTATTACAGAATAGGATTACAAGAAATGATAGCATTTCCTATTACAGCATCGCTATTATGGAGTCTCAATGCCTTTTGGATCAGAAGATGAAGCATTCCAAAATTCCAGTACCTTTGGGTACTTGAGTTCAGAACAAGCATTGGCAGATTACGCGCAGGTGATAATAGATGTTAAGAAGAATCTGTCAGCAGAACACTGTCCTGCTATTGCAGTTGGAGGATCATATGGTGGAAGTAAGTTAAAAGTTCCAATATTTTATTGATGAATTCCTGAACTGAAACCTGATCCTTTACTAAATATATTATTCAGTGCTTGCATCGTGGTTTCGTCTAAAATATCCTCATATTGTCATCGGTTCTTTAGCATCATCTGCTCCAATACTCTACTTTGATGATATCAGACCACAAAATGGATATCATGTAATTGTTTCAAAAGATTTCAGAGTAAGAGATTAACCCAGTAATATTGAAAATTTGAAATCTATTATTGTTTAATCTCTTAATTATCTAATTATGCTTGCATGCCATTGGCTGTAGGAAACCAGTGAGAGTTGTTACAACACTATACAGCAGTCCTGGGCTGAGATTGACCGAGTTGCATCTGATGCAAATGGGCTTATAACACTCGGCAACATCTTCAGCACTTGTAGGTAAAGAATAAGATATTCTATGCGTCTCTAATCATGCTTTTCGCCAATAATGTTCTGACTTGGACCTTCTTGTCTACAATCCCACTTTCAAGGCCCTTGATCTCATCGCAGGATATCAAGTACTACATAGAGATGGCGTATATGTATGCAGCTCAGAATGACAATCCTCCATCTCATCTAGTCAATGACATATGCAGTGCCATAGATGGAGCACCAGCAGGAACTGATATACTTGGTAGAGTTGCTGCTGGTATCAATGCTAGTAGGTTTGGAAATTATTCATGCCATGACGTATTTGATTCAGAACTAAGAAGCAAGGGTGCATGGGATTGGCAGGTTATACATAATTCCTCGATGTTTTCAATCCTTATATTTACGAGCTTTCTTGCACAGAAGTGGTTTTCGATTTTCAATTCACAAAGTTCTTTTGCATCTTTCAGACTTGCACTGAGATGGTATTTCCAATTGGATGCGGTGAAAATGAAACAATGTTCCAGTCAAACCCTTTTGATATAAACAACTACACCAAAGGATGCGTTGTTGATTTCGGTATCAAGCCAAGGCCTCACTGGATCACGACCGAATTCGGTGGACACGTAAGCATTGCCTTCTCTCCCCATAAATTCAGAACATAAAACCTTAATCTATTGCAACAATAAATCAAAATGTCATTGCTCTAAAAAAAGAAAAAAATGTTTCAGGACATAAAAACTGTACTGGGAAATTTTGCAACCAACATTATTTTCTCCAATGGACTGCGAGACCCTTGGAGTGCTGGAGGGTAAGGGACCAAACTTCGATCCTTTTCTTGGAAATGTTATGCATTTCAGCATTACATTCTGCTAATTAATTCTGCTTCTGCTTCTTTTTTAACTCGACGACAGAGTTTTAGAGGACATATCAGACAGTGTTGTTGCTTTATATACAGAACAAGGTGTCCATTCTGTTCCTTGGAAAAGCGTTTGAATTTCTTAGTTTGATGTAGTATTTTGATTAGTAATTCTTTTGGTAATCAGGAGCCCACTGCTTGGATCTTTATCCCCCTAGATTGAGCGATCCTGACTGGCTGGTTGCATTGCGAGACAAAGAAAACAAAATCATTGCATATTGGCTTGCTGAGTACTATGCCAAACTTAATTTACAATAACCAGGCCTGGTGACAAAGGTGGCCAAAACGATATGCATCTTTTTTTTTTTCCTTAAGCAAGAACTTTTTAGCAGTTCAGTAAAATAAAAAATTCATTGATTACTATGCTAATGTTGCTTGCATTTTCCGAAGTTGGTAGCAAGAAGATTTGTATCATGGTGAACTACATTCCAACTTCATGGAAATCTATAGCCCTAGACATAATTTTAAATCGCGGATGGTTGAAAAAACGGTCATGGTCGCTATCGCGAATCGTGACTCACTATAATACTAAAATAACGATAACAAAATACTTTAAAACTGTTAAATAATAGATGTTATATAACGCAACCACCGTTATTTAAAACTATGGTCCTAGACGAGGGCATATAGGATAAAGAATTTGGGTTAGCAAGATGCTGAGCCTGCTAGACTGCTGGTAATTGTTGCCACAACAGAATTGGTTAGCGTTATTTTTGGATTCTAAACTCTGCGTGGAGCCGGAATAATGAAACTTTAGCATTTTACAGCAACATTTCATCCAGAGCAGCCCCAGTGACTGGTAAAACATTTTTTTATTTTCTATTTATTAAAAGAAAATAATGGATTAATAGAAGAAAGGTAAAAAGGCCAAAAAACAGCGACAGAGAGAAAAAGATCGTTCAGTCTGTGCAGTAACATGTATGGATGTAAGATAGATAACTAAAATCAAAGCATTGCGAAATAAGAAGTGGAAGAATCTCTGTAAGCACGATATGAGTGCTCCTACGTAGTCCTGAATCCACTTCTGAACAACCTTTAAAGTAGCAGCAGAACATGATCAAGTCCCTGGACCAGAATCTATAGAAACATAACCTGGCAGAGAAATCCAAAGACGCAGCAGGAAACTCGATTCATATAAGAACCAAGCCTTCAGGTTATCACATTAGGACTTCAAGTTGAGCTTGACAGTTAAAACAACTGTACTCAGATTCGAGTACTTCCAATTTGCTAAGTTCATGCAATGAATTTCTTCCTGTCTTGAAACATCAGCCTTTGCTATTGCTAGGGCATGGTGCTATATTATTGCCTCTCATGCAGTGTGGACGAAGCGCTAGGCTCAGCACAGTCATTTTGTGGCTCGATTGATGGTCTCTCTTGGTCTCTATCTGGACACCTGACTTAGCAAGTAATTCTGCAGTTTCATTTGCCAGCTCCTTGAACGAATGGGCACAAAGGATTTCTCCAACCCTTTTCAACCAAGTAACAAATTAACATGCATGATCCTATCCTTGATACAAGGAATGCAATAGCAACATAGACTGGTTCCTATGCAAAGCTCAATATAACTTCGAAAACACAAAACCAAGAAGATCCATCTGTATTCCATTTCATCCATCCATGTGCAGGAGGAATCCAATTAACGGTTGACATGGTTCCTGGGTACTTTTTGATGCCGTCTGAACTCCTACATTGATCATTACTGGAGCATCCAGAAGTCCTCGTTAATTGCTTTGGACCATTTCTTAGAAACGGAGATGCTGGTATTCTCACCGACGAGCTGTTGGTTTTTAGGTTTGAGCCGTAATTTCCAAGCTTTTCTTTTTATCGATCGAAACTGCAGGGTGCATTAACGGGTGGCATTAACAAAACAGAGGGTAGATGAATACATGCATATATTCTCAGCTAGTTCAACAGGCCGGTACTCTACAGTAAGTATTAATTCTGTCTCCATATGCTTTCAATTCTTCTCCCTTCTGTTTTGATGTGAAGTTTGCTTTGTATTTCATAGTTGGTAGGAGAAATTTTATCTTACTGGACGGGTTATTGATACAAATAAGAGAGGGAGAAAGAGTTGGTGAGAGAAATTTAACTTACTGCATGTATAATACTAATAATACTTATAAAGAAGAAAGATAGATAAAAAAGAGAGAGAGCGTAGAAAGATAAACACAAAGGATAATAATAATAATAATAATAATGCAAAATAAGACAGGAAGAAATTTTAACTTACTGCATGAATATTTATTTCAGATTTATTTATTTTTTTTTGTCTGCCCATCTTTTCAAAATGAGTCTATAAAATAAATATCTATATAATTTAAAATTTTTGGTTTATAAAAGAACTGTAAGTATGCTTACTAGTAACGTCATATAAGTATGTGTAATTTAAGTATTTTTATAATCAAGTGTATTAATATTTATTTTTTTCTTCGAAAAGTTAGTGGATTTTAAAAATTATAACAATCAGATGAAATTTAAAAAAGTGTCAGGTGCACTTTTAAAAAAGTGTCAAGCTCTTATAGTTTTTTTATTTTCATTAAAATAAAATTTTAAAGTTATTAGTTGATAATTAATATGATGAAGGGTAATTCAGGAAAAGAATTGAATTTTTCTGGTATGAAAAGTATACATATGAACTTGTTGGTTAGTAAAAATTTTAATATCTTATTGATATTTTTATCTCCAAAAAGTAAATTTGTTGATGATTTTTCTTGCCTACGCCAATCAAGTTTGCCTAAAGCACGACAAAAATTACCCCCTTTTTTTCAATCACCCGTAGCATAAATAAATCAAGTGTTTTTGGAAAAATATATTTGTCAATATATTAGATTATTAACAATATTTCTTATAAAACAGTCAAATGGGTCCTTAGCTCAGTGGTAGAGCATTTGACTGCAGATCAAGAGGTCACCGGTTCGAACCCGGTAGGGCCCTTTTTAATATGCCTTTAAGTGAAAATCTAATTTAGCCCTTTTATTTGTTAAAGTATGTCAAATCAGGCCCTTTAGAATATTTTTTTTCCAAATGTATCCTCAATTAGATAATATTAAATGAACTTTGAAAGATCGAACCCCGGCAGGGCTCTTAACTTTTTAACCTCTTAAATGAAAATGTTTTGGAAATCCAATATAGCTCTTATATTTTTTTAAATGTGTCAAATCAAGCCTTGTAAAAAATTTTCTATCAAATGTATCCCCAATGGATAATTTTAAATAATCTTTGAAGAATTTATCCTATAGAGAGACTATGTTGTTTACAAATGAGTCCAATTTGGACAAGAATTGACAAGTAGAGGTAAATTTGATGGAAGTGAATTAAGGGACTCATTTGTCAAATTGACACTGATACAGAGACTAAATTCGGTGAACTGTCCTGCTTAAACATCGTAAGGCAACGTTGTACTCTGGTGGCTTGCTCATTTTTTCTTCTCTCCTCCTTTGTAGTTATAATCGTAATGAAACTATTACCATTAGAACCTATTTTACAAATAATACTTCTATTATGGAAAAAAAAAACAAAAAAACAAAAAATCTTCATCGCTTTTTTTCTTAGAATTTTAATCTCTAGAGCTAATTGTAATTATTGGACTGTGCCATGTTTCGGAAAAATAATTATTTGTTGTACACATGTTCATCAATAATAATTAAAAAAAAAAGGTATTAACATTGTGGAACATCATTTGCAGCTTTTCCTGAAAGCTGGAAAGGGACACTGTTTTCATTTATATTTGTGTCTTTGGAGTGGAATATATGCTTACAGTAAGCTTTTATTTTGGACCACGCACTACTCTCTCTCTCTCTCTCTCTCTACCCGAGCTTCTTTAAGCATTTAAATGGGGACTGCCATCGGTATCAATTCCTACGGCAGCCCTCCATATGCTTTCCTTTAATTGCCTTTTTCCTTTCTTTTAGTTTTAGCTTTTAGCTTTCAGTTTCAAGTGTTTCTATCAATTCTTCTTTGATTCATTTTAGAACTAGATCTTACATACATATCTAAAAGTTTATTGCGAGTTTGATCTTTTACTTCCACAAATTTAGTTAGAGTTATTTGAAGCATACTGTGGTATTTTGATGGAGAAGAACATAACAAAAAAATTATATAAGTAGCGTTTTTCAAGCTAACGAAGCAAGTAATTAAGGATCTCACCTTATAAACCTATCGTTTCTCGAAATCTTTCATGATATTTGCATATATGAGCTCTATAGAGTTTTACTATTTTCTTTTACTCTGTGTGCAAGTTTACTGTTAGAGGAGGTAATGGATAGGGTTGGAGCAAGATTTTGCTCCATCATCGTCTGACTCAAAATATCCAAATTTATCGCCCATCTTCCACTCCAATCAAATAGGATATTTTCTAAACCTCACAGATATCCATTCAGGTGCCTGATCAGACCCAGGTTTTTTTTTTTCTACATTATTTTTTTGTAAAAATAAAATTTAAAATTTAAAAACAAATTATATTTCCATTAATAAATTATAAAATCATAAAATAGAATTTAAAACTTCAAATTCATGCATAAAACCATAAAAATCTTCCATGAATTATAAGATAAAAATTCGTATATTATATTAAAAAATAAATATACCAAAAAAGAACCAAGAAAAAAAAAAACTAGGTCGAGAGTTAGGTAACGAGGAAGGTAAACCCTCACTAATCTTTGCAGCCGACTTCGATCGAATTGAATAACATTTTACTAGTCTCTAGTTTGACTCAGGTCAAACTGAATAAAAATTCAATAAAATCGAATTGGATGGCATTGAATACTTAATTGATCGAACGAAATTGTCATGCTTATTTACTATATGTGGACTTGGTTTTTAAATACCATTTCAAGATTAGTTTTGTATACGAATTGAATGTTTTACTGTATTTTTTTTATTCTACATTAGGTTATGTTGTATGAATATAATGGTTTTAGTCAATGATATGATGTCAATTTTTGTTAGTGTATATATATATATATATACATATATAGACCACACGTAAGTGTGGATGTGTTATCGATTTTCCCACAAGGGATTTGAAGTGCATGCAACTAAAAGGTATCAAAAGATTCGGAAGCTTCCTTATATGACATATTAATGGGAATTGTTCCGAACGTATCCTGGTCCACAATTGCTAGTCTAACAAGGTTTTTCTTGGGAGAGTTACTTTTCACGAACTTTCATATTAATAAAAATTTTAGAAAAATCTTACTTTTGCTATTCAATAGATTTTTGTAAATAAAGAAGTGAATTCCTGAACTGCTACTTCTTCTTCTTTTTATTTTATTAATAAACTAAAAAAATAGATAAGTTATTTAATATTATTTGATAGATGACATTACCTTTATATCACATTATTTTATTTAAAACGATTTGTATTGAAATTAAAACTTAAGACTTTTTTTTTTGAAAAAACGATAATTATGCATGAAAACATGAATATATATATTAAAAGATAATCTTACCTAAAAACTTAAGCTGATAAGTGAGGTCCTAGGATATAATTTATACTAGTTTCTAACACATCCCCTCAAGTGAAAAGCCTAGCATTTAGGGCATGAAACTTGCACAAATCTACATTGCCTTGTGCTTAATATTTGAGAAATTGGAGATAGTGAAACTTGAACTCAAGACCTCAAGGTCAATCAAACTCGATATCATATTAAAAGACCATCTCACCTAAAAATTTAAGCTGATAGATGAGGTTATAGAATATAATTTATATTAATCTCTAACAATATGACTAATTATAAATTACAATAGATGAGGTTCAAACTTTCAACTATAAAAATAAATACTCTATAATAAACGCATCTACAACTGTACCATTTAGTTATTGGCATTCTTAACTTAAATTATTGGTCTAAAAACCTCAACCCCTGTATATTTTGTTTTCTTATAATTTGTTAGTGTGAAGGCAAGATTTTGGGGACAATTTTATCTTTTTCTTTTTGAAAAATATCCTTTCGGTTGTTCTAGAACCAGGACTGAAACGTGAAAAACATGGGAAAGATTTTTCTGTCAAAAAGTTCAATCGCGAAGTTTCAAAATGAAATTAGTGATGTTTGACTGTCTTTCGTTTGTGGGCTGCTCTTGATGGCACAATACACTTCTTCTAGGCTTCATGATTCCTATCCCATTACGTGACACCACTTTTGACTACCCTACATGTATAGTGTATTCTGCAAACGATTCTACTAAAAGCTTCCAACATTCAATTATTCTTGGGGCATGCTAGCGTACACCCAGTTTCCTTGTGTAGTTGACTAATGACTTCAATACTTCTTCTCCTTCTTCTTTTCATTGTTATCACTTTTCACCTTTCAAGAAGTGAGTGTATATATATATATATATATATATATAGAGTATATAGAGAGAGAGAGAGAGAGAGAGAGAGAGAGAGAGAGAGAGAGAGTGGTATGTGTCTTCTTATTCTATATTAGATATATCTAATTTTATTATGAATGATAAAATTTAATTTCTTCTAATAAGAATAATTTTAAAATTTAAATATAATATTGTAATAAAAAATTGATTTGAAGATTAATTTATTTGTTATTGATTCAATAATTTGTTAGTTATAATATATTATTTATTGATAATCTAACCTTTTAATTAATGACCTCCGGCATATTTATTATTTATTTATTATAGTTTGGTGATGGATAAAGTACGTACTTTGATATATATATTATTCATCATTAAGAGCATGATATTGAGTACCGAAAGAAGGGGAAAAAAGAAGACGGTTTGTGTAATAATTTTGAACAAAAACAAAGTTTTTTTTTTTTTTTAAAGAAAAAATTGATAGTATAAGAGATTATTAATGAACTGGATGCATGATTGATCATTCTTGCCCATGAACGGATGCTGCGTGTTGTTACGGCAAAATTAATGTCTTCTATGCGCAATCAAAGGCACAAAGATCCAATCAGCCGCGTGTTGTTATTTGATTCTTCTACAAGGCACTAAGACCCCATTTTTGGTTCCTTATGGTCACCAATCTCAAATTTCTGAAATGACAGCTAGATTATGCTATATACTGTCCAAGGTCAAGGCACATAATCTGCCAGCTTGATTTTTCCAATTTCTTAAAGTTCTAAGACCATTCAGTCGGAGTTGTTACAATATCTAAGTTTTAGACATCGACATTCGGATTATTAATTACATTGAATTAGAATTTTATCGATTTTATGTTACAAGACGGATAAAATATATATAATCATTTAAAAAAATGATTTTAGTTTAATAATCTGTTTTATGATAAAAAATAATTATAATTTTTGAATAACAAAATTTATATTTAACTATTTTTTATTTGTGTTTTTAAATTTTAGAAATAAATAATAAAAAAATAAATTATTAGTTTTTTTAAAATTTTAACTTCCAATTAATTGTTGGTTCCTTTATAATTTTAACATTCAACATTAGTAAGAAATGAAAATTAAAAAAAAAGTTTAATTTTTTTTTTAAAAAAGTAGCCAGTCGTTTACTGTTCATGTGAATAGTAAACGAACGAAAATTAAAAAAAAATTCAGTGTTTAAAGAGAAAAAAAAAGATGGGGAAGTCATTTACTATTCAAATGAATAGTAAACAAGAAAAAAAGTGAAAAGAAGACTAGCGTTAGGCCAAAAAAAATAATAAAATTTTTTTAAAAAACTAAAGCACTGTAGCAATAAAGAGTAAACAATGATTACTGTTTATTGCTACAGTGAAAGCTATTTTCCTTTAATTTGCAGTATAATATAACAATATATTAGGATTTAGATAGATATGGATACAATACAACATATTCAAAACATAAAAATTAAATTACTCTAATAAAATTTATACATTTTAGTATTGGGGGTTTGTGGATTTATAAATTGATTAATTAGTAAAATTTAATAGTTGTTAAAAATTATAGGTATTTTGACGTTGATTTAATTTAGAAAACAATAAACTTAATTTCGATTGGTGTAAAATTTTATTTAAAAATATATTTTACTATCTGTAAATATATTTAAAAAAAATTAATTAGTTAGTAAAATCCTAAAACAAACCTGGATTTCATGAAACACATTGTGATAGCTTCGCAACTTAATTATTGTGATCCTTGAATGCAATAAAGCTTGAATACTGTGTAATAAGTCAAAGTCGTCTCCAAGAGGCGGAGATTTTATTATTTAAGGATGTACTTTGAGTCACCTAAGATACCCTCAACAAAACAATCTAGCTAGCTGGCCAGTGGGCACATATTGCAAATTGCCATGATGTTACAAAGCCTAATTCTTCTTCAACTTTTCTTACTGATTTCCTTAACCACTGCAGCTGCAAAACGTCTTAATACTATTCCAAGACTCAGTCCAATAGGACCAAGAGTTTGGCGAGACCAACCTGATCAAATATTGGATGAATCTGCTCGAGAAGATTTCAAAACCTTTTTTTACAACCAGACACTTGATCACTTCAACTATAAGCCTGAAAGCTACGTCACATTTCCACAACGATATTTGATCAATTCTAAGTACTGGGGTGGTGCCAATGATAGTGCACCAATCTTAGTATATCTTGGTGCAGAAGCAGCAATTGATGGAGACCTTGATTCTGTTGGATTTCTCGTTGATAACGCTGTTCAATTTGATGCTCTCTTGGTTTATATTGAGGTATGGATATAATTAGTTTACTTAAACATGTTGTTTTCGGTGCATTGAAATATGCTTAATAATGGGTGGTAATATATATATATATATTAATGTCATCAGCATAGATATTATGGACAATCAATCCCATTTGGATCAAGGGAAGAAGCCTTGAAGGATGCAAGCACACTGGGATATTTCAACTCAGCTCAAGCCATAGCAGACTACGCAGCAATCATCATTCACATAAAGAAAAACTTACAGGCTAAAGATTCTCCGGTTATCGTCATTGGAGGATCGTATGGTGGAAGTAGGTGGCTACGTACTATATATCCTCCAAGAATATCAATTACAACAATATTGAAGAAGACTTTGACTTTCTTTGCATTTAATTCCTTTAACTTTTTTTTCCATGTTAATTAGTGCTGGCTTCGTGGTTTCGGCTTAAATACCCTCATATTGCCCTTGGAGCTTTGGCCTCATCAGCACCAGTTCTTTATTTTGATGATATTACACCGCAGGATGGATACTATTCTCTTGTCAGCAAGGACTTTAGAGTAATATATTTTGAGTTTTCATCTTTAATTTGCCCATTTTAATTTAGTTTTCCGCAATTAATTGGAAGTATATATAAGAAAAATAACGTTTTACTGTGTCAAATATGTGGGAATATGTTGCGTGTATAGGAAGCTAGTGAGACTTGCTACCAGACGATACAAAAGTCATGGGCAGAAATTGATGAAGTTGCTTCTGAACCAGATGGTCTCTTAATCCTCAGCAAGAAATTTAAGACTTGCAAGTAATAGTTACATTTTTTAACATTGCTTGTTAAACTGATCAATATTCAATATAATTTTACATGCTAATAGCCTTCGTAATTTCCCTTGATGCAGTCCCTTGACCAACGTCAGTGAGCTCAAGAACCACTTGGACTCAATGTATGCAAGTGCTGCTCAGTACAATAAGCCACCAAGATATCCGGTTAACGAGGTCTGTGGGGGCATAGATGGAGGTGGTTTTGGGGGTGATATTCTTGGCAAAGTATTTGGTGGTCTTGTTGCTTATAAAGGAAATAGGTCATGCTATGTCAATGGACCCACTAAAAAATCTGAAACAACTGTGGGGTGGAGATGGCAGGTAAAATATATAATTACTCCTTTTGCTAAATTAATCTGCAATTCAATGATGTTTTAATTAGATCTTTTTGTTTTCTTTCATTTTTTTCATTTTTTCCCCCTCAATTGACTTGTGGAATTTTCATGGAAGTCTGACAATAGGAAGCTATTGTCACAATAGCAGTTAAGATAACGATAGGGATATAGTTCACACTCAAGTCACAATAGCAGTTAAGATAACGATAGGGATATAGTTCACACTCAATATGTCTTTTGGCTTGCATAAGTAGTTTTCATAGGTACAATTATTATGAAGCACTCAAAAAATGATAAGAATGGGTCATGATTTTTGCAATGGAAAAGTTCCACTAATAATCCTATTTGAAGGAAATCACTTATTAGACCCCATTTGAATTAGGGATGGCAATTTATCCCATTCCTCTTTATCTCGGAGATTCTCTGAGTTGACCGAGGAATGCCCCACCCGCATTAATTTTGAACGAAGACAGGACAGAAATGGTATTTACTCGCCCTGCTCCATCATTTTCTTTGAAAATTACAATTATACCAACCATATATATAAACTCTGGGGCTCCAAACTAGTTTCTAATATAATGAGTGAGTTTTGATTAGTAATAAAGAATTGCAAGAATTTTTATTTTTTAATTGCATTTGTGATACTCATCAACTTAATTAATATTATTTATTCGATTGAAAATAATTTAATATATTATGAGTTGTGTTGTAAACTTGTAATTGAATAAGATATTAAGTTATTTTATTTCTTAATTGTATTTTTTTATATAAATTATTATCTTTTTACTATAATTTAAAATTTAGTGCAAGATAATATGAGGTGGAATAGAGCGAGACGGATATAAAAACTTAAGCAATGCACCGAGCCCCACGAGAACGAGGCAGAGGTAGGGATGGCCCACCCCATTGCCATTCCTAGTTTGGATAAAGCATCACAACAATGCACTATACAGTGATTCTTATATTAAGTTAGGCGAAGTTGGTTAAGAAATAGAAAATTATTAATTAAGCCTTAACTAACTAGAATAATTTTGTCATTAACTAAATGACACATACATTTCATAATTAAGCAAAAGAAAGATTCAATGGAAAATTGGAGTATAATCATAGGATTGAGAACCGATATGGTTATAAGTAAAGTGATAAAAAGAGTATGCCTAACTTATTAAAACAAGGCTTGGATTCCCTCTTTAGAAATGCTTTTCTCTCTACTTTGTGTTATATTAAACATAGATTATTAGTAGATTTAAAGAGTTTGACTTTTAAAATCAACCAAATACTAAAGTACACGATCCGACATTAATCTAGTTAGGAAATAGTAGACTTAATTAGTCTCGATTAATGTAAAAGTTGGTTGAAAGATACACTACTACCTATATATATATATTTTATAGTTAAAATAAAAAAAAAAAATAGACAAACATAAAGAGAAGGAAAAATCACAATCAAGTAAAACAATTTGAATATTTTCAAGTCGGCTTATATATAAAACTTTTAACTTTCTTTATCTTTTTTTTTCTCTTCTTTATATATTTTCTTTCTTTTATAAAGTGTTAATAATTACTCTTGAACTAATGTAAAATTTATTGATAATTCACTATCTTACTTCGTATACTCTTAAAAAGCGTTTAATTATTTTGACAAATTAAGTACTATTGTGTATTCAGACATGTAGTGAGATGGTGATACCTATTGGTTATGGCAATGAGTCCATGTTCCCACTCGATCCTTTCGATTTGAATGCCTTCATAGAGGATTGCAAGATTTCGTACGGTGTCTCTCCTCGTCCTCATTGGGTCACTACCTATTACGGAGGCCATGTAGGTCCCCTTTAATTTCTCTTTTAACCCTTTTTTTTTTTTTTTTTGGTATTAGTGATTTTTATTTTTATTTTTGTTGGAGAGGTAATTTAACCCAAATTTTAAAGCATTTTTAACTTCTTTTTTGTTTTTTTCCCTCTCTAAATGCATGTAGAGTATGAGACTGATTCTTCAAAGGTTTGCTAGCAATATCATTTTCTCCAATGGGCTAAGAGATCCTTATAGTAGTGGAGGGTAAGTAACTAGCAAAATTGGAAAAAGAGAATTGATTTAATGATTTTGTGACATCTGATCATTACATTCACAAGTTTGGAGTAAAGACCTCACCAAGTTTAACATGTGCTATCATCTCTATTTAATTTCTAGGGTATTGGAGAACATTTCAGACACTATTGTTGCTGTCAAGACCGTCAATGGTAAGCATAGTTGAAAACAAGAATATAATATGATCATAGGATCAATATTTGGCTACCAAGCTCTATCAATGCTATCTCCAATATGAAAACAGAGAAACTTGTAGAATTAAGGCAATTTTATGGAAGTTCATACTAATTAACAGTGCAAGATTAATTACATTAACAGTGTTGGCTATCGATCTTTAAACTTCGTATGTCTTTCATAATATATATATTAATTGCAGGGTCTCATTGCTTGGATATACTTTTTGCCAAGGAAACTGATCCAGAATGGTTGGTCACACAGCGAAAGACAGAGATCAAGATTATGAAAGAATGGATTAATAAGTATTATGCTGATCTAAGCATGGTTTAGCTCTGAAATCATGGGCACGAAAAGTTGTTAACAACAGAAGAAACAGAGGTAGTGGAAATTGAAAATATACCATGCATTTTCTTAATTTTCCCAGCTTAGCCATCTGCAACAAGAGGTGTTGAAATCGCTGAAATCAAATTTTCACAAATTCGATCTCCTGTATTTCATCGCTCTAGAAAGATGGTAATCTTTATGGAGAAACCTTATGGAATATATTAGATTTTTTTTTTAATTTTCTTTTCTAAATGTCCATTCATCAGTAGAGCCGATGTTTTCATTATTGTAAAAACATCAGCGTTATATTGACTAGAAAGATGGTAATATTTATGTAGGAGAAACTTTATGAAATATATAAGTTGCTCTTGTCCTCACTTATTTATCTATTTCTGCCTGCAAAGTTCTCAACTAACAGTCCATAATTCCCCCCGATATGAAACTTGGAGTTTCAAATAAATATATTAAAGTTCCACTTAGTGTTCTCTTAAACCTATAGACAACCCTTGATATCTTCAAGGATTAATGTATAAATGAAATGCTTGTTTACATTTAAGAAAAAAGGATTAAGCTAAATAGCATCTTTTAAGGACCATTAATTAAGATTAAGATGGACTAATTAATATATCCACTATCTTGACAGGTAGAGAGTTTTCAACATTGTTCTTAAACCCGATCCAAACACTAACTCGGTCAAACTAAAAATCACAATGATTATCTATGGTATCCTGTCTATTAACTATATATATGTGTGTGTGTTTTTATTAAATGGAGAAATGTAAATATTACATACACACATTTGTTCGGAATGGTGTAAGTGGATATCTATCGGGTTCGGGTTAAATTACCTTTTACAACTCAAATTACTTTGTCATTGGTTTAACCAGTGGATAAATGGTTGAACCGTTGAATAATTTATGCACACAATTTGAGCAGCGAAGAGGTAAACGCATGATTTCAAGTCCTACAAGCTAGGCGTTTTTCATTTTCTTGAAAACCGATCAACGCTGAACATGTTGGTTCTCGATTGGACCAGATTCTGATTAGGTCTCTTGCATATCCAATTTTTTACTTCAACTTGAATTGGTCACACATGTGACTGGGTTTTGGTGGGACCGATCAGTCTGTTTCGAGTTTAATAACACTGGTTTTTAGTAATAGGATTCCAAAAAACAAATAAAATAAGGAAAGTTGCCTAATCACCTTGTAAATAAATCTTTTATCACTAAAAAAAATAAAATAAATAACGATGGATGGAAACATGTGTCGCCAAAACTAACATTTCCGT